TGATGACTGCCCTTGCACTGTTCACCATGTAAGAACTTATTCACTATGTAAGAACTTGTTCACCATGTAAGACCTTGTTCGTTATGCTTCAGAAGATTGGAGACTGTTGAGAATTAGGCCTGGGGTTGATTAATGATTGTGCATTGAGTCCCCTATACAGAATTTTATTGTTGTTAACAACCATTTGATCAATAAATATGAGAGATGCCCTCTCAAAAAACAAACAACAATTCAAAGTTCTGACACCACTTTGTTACTAAAAATTCTGAAAGCACAAACACATCTCTGAAATGATGTGAGAAATACAAACCAGGCATAACACACAAAGCTACAGTGTCCCTGGAAACCAGTTTCCATTCTTTCCTTCTCTGCCCCTTGCTTCACCTTGTATCCTTCCAAAAATGTGGCTAGATTCAGAAAAACTTCCTTGTTTTACTATAAGCCTCTGGGAGGTCAGAATAAATTTCAAAACAACTTTCCATAACATGCCTGATAAACATCAAATAAATTTTATCCCCTTAAATAGATTTCTAACACACAAAAATTGCTTACTAAAAGGAATTCAGAAAGTAAGTCATTAAAAAGTCTTTTAGAAGATATGTGTGGGAAATCATATAAAATTCATCAGGCCAAGCTTTATTCTAACAATTTAACAAAAATTGTATATTTTTCCAAGAGCTTTTAAAAGGTTCTTTATTCAGAAAATTCTACCGGGGCAAATGTAGAGAATACCATAATAAGCCCAAGGTATCCACTGTCTAATTTTAATACTTATCAACTCTTAGCCAATTTTATTCCATCTATAACCCCACTACTTCCCCTACACATACCTATTGGATTATTTTGATGTAAATCCCAGGAATTTCATCTGTAAATGTTTCAGTATGTGTCTCTAAAATGTAAGGACTTTTATACATATACACACACACACATATACACACAACACCACTATCACACTTAAAAAAAAAAGGAAACTGATAGTTGCTCAGTATTATAAAATCTAGTCAAAGTTCAAATTTTCCTGTGTCTCAAATTTCTTTTAATAGTTGACTAGCAAACACTTTCATCTTCGATGTGTCACTCACTAAGCTAGGCACTAAAGTTAGCAAGTTACGTGAGACAGATTTTACCCTCAGAACCTAGCAGAGCTGCAGGTATATAAACCAAGTTGCAGTATCTCATAGAAAGTGCTAGAATGGAGCCATGACCAGTTTTAGGGATACCCAGGAGGGAGTGACTTAGTTAACTCTCTCTGTGTCTTGCACTGCCTCAGACATTTACTCCCATGGTCACACCCTGGGCCTGGCCATCCTCAGTAAGGGCAGAAATCCTGTGACCCTGCCCCCCCTCCACGCACTGTTCACTGTGATACTATCTCCTGTCTAGCTCACTTCCCCTCACACCTGGATCAACAATCCTTCCATCCCACTACCCCTCCAGTCCAATCCTCTGCCACCTGTTTGAAGTCCTCCATCCCCTTGGCCTTTTCCCTCCCCTTCCTCCACACATAAACCCCAAAGCTATTCATTGCAATTGCTGCCATGCATATGCTCTTGATTTCCATCCCCACTGATGCCTAAACACTCTTACTATGTTGTGTGCACTTGGTAAAGCCACACACTGTGCAACCCAATTCCCTGCCCGCTCTACAAAGGCACTCTTGCAATAAATGGAGCTGGAAAATGACACACAGCTATGCTAGTGGTCTCATTTTAATTCCATGACCAAGAACCTCAAGTGAGCAATTAGTGTTTCAAGAAATCATACTGTACTTCCCTAGAACATTTATTTTCCCACTTCTCTAAATGCCGTTTCACACCATCTCCTCTCTTTTCAAATCAATCCTATAAAAGTTGGCAGCCCTATATCTGTTCCATTGGTATGACCCTATTCCAAACCACAGTCATTCTTCATATGAACTGTTGAAATAGCTTCTAACTAGAGTCCCTGTCTTCACTTTTACTCCAGTGTAAGCTAATGCGATATTTTTATTTTTATCCAGAGTGATGTTTAAAAATATAATGACATCACAATAAACCCTGATCAGAACCCCTTAAAGATTTATTACATTTAAAATCTAAATTTCTTACCATTACTCATAAAGCCCACCTGATCTGGCTCCTACCTACCCCATCCTATATGATTCTCTCTCATCTATCTTCTTTACATAGTGGAACTAAACATAGGATTTAGCTTGATGAAAGAATCCTGCAAAAAGTTTGAAAATCAGAGATGCAGATTATTTCAATGGTGTATGCCACCTCAAGAATTCCTATTCAGAATATCTAGTTAGGGAAGCTCTAACTAAGGTGGCAGGCTCTCCTCTTGCTAAGTATTGGTTGTAACAGAAAAGAGAAATAGTAAATGAGGAGCGCGGTGGGAGAATGACAGGTAAATTCCCTCAGCAGCTGTATATGGTTACCTGTGTACACACAGACACACACACACACATACACAGAAAAACATTCATTAGTTTACAAACAATATAGAAATGACTCTGGACCTTTAAAAACTAAGTTTATGAAACCTTCCCCCTCATTATACCTGCTAAACACATCTAGTTTCTCATCATGAGAATTGAGATGCTGTTGCAACTGCTCCGAGCTTACAAACCGGCGGTTACATTCATAGCAGGGCCAATTCTTCTCTTGCTCTCGAAGAACTGCAGTCACAGGGGAGAAATCATAAAGGCCAGTGACACCAATGAAACACCAAAGCCCAGTGCATTAATAAACAAGCAGTGTCTGCTCTTTGCATTACTGTTTTGTTATAAAATCAAAGGCTAAAGTTTGACCCAGTCACTTTTAGGATCTTATTTTCTGATATATTCATGTAGGATCAATGGAACAAACACCATCATACTAAACTTTCCCCCCGCCCCTCCCCCTACACACACAGGCAGCCTTATCACACTGGAAAGAAAGTGCTACAATGTTAATCCTCACTCAGAAAACCAAGGATTCAGATCTAAGTCTCATAATCTGAGGGTACATTTTATCACAAATAACTTGAAAATCAATGCCCAGTATAATCACTTTAACAAAATATTTAGATTACATGCACATCCTATGACCCAGCAATTCTACTCCTAGATATATACCCAACAGAAGTACATACATATGTTCACTAAAAGGCATGTAGGAGAATGTTCGCAGCTGCATTCTGCCTAATAGCCCAAAACTGGAAACAACCCTGTTGTATAATAAAGAATTTGGCTGGACTTTTGTCCCTGGTTCCTGGGAAATAACCTCTACATCTTTGGAATTTCCCAAATAACAGGAGTGTCTTTGTGATGCATGGTGGTCCGTGATCATACCTGGGTTTATGCTAATGAGATGACTCAGGATGAGGGCTGGCTCTGCCAAAATACTCAACCATCCGATTACAGGGTTGGGGCTTCGAGCCAGGTGCTACAGCCAGGGAAGGGAGCAGAAAATGGGGAGCAAGTTCACTCCCATCGCCAATGACTCAATCAGTCATGCCTACCTGATGATGCCACAATAAAAACTCTGGACACCAAAGCTCAGGTGAGCCTGCCTGGTTGGTGATCACACATCAGTGTGCCAGGGACATGATATGGCTTAAGGACATGGAAACTTCACACTTGAGACCCTCCCAAACTTCGCCCTATGTGTCTCTTCATTTGGCTGGTCCTGCTGTGTGTCCTTTGTAATAAAACTATAATCATAAATATAGAGCTCTGTGAGTCATTCTAGTGAATTATTAAGCCTAAGGGGGTAGTGGGAACTCCCTAAATTGTAACAAGTTGGTCAGAAGTGTAGGTGGTGTGAGAACCCAAAGCTTGCAGATGGTGTCTGAAGTGAGGAGAGCCTTGTGGAAGACTCTGCCCTTCACCTGTGAAATATAACCAAAATCCAGGAAGTTAGAGTCACACTGCATTGCACAACCTAAATTCCTATCTACAGTAAAATAGATAAATGAACTGTGGCACACTTATATGATACAATACAAGTAGCAATGAGAATGAGCAAGTTTCAGTAATACACAACAATAAGGATGAATCTCAAAAACATGGTATTGAGCATAAGATTACCAGACACCAAAAGTGTACATATCAGATAACTCTATATGAAGTTCAGCAATGAGCATATTGTACCTAGGGCATTGGAAGTCAGGAGATTAGTTGCACTTGGGAGTGGAGTTGGGAATTGGAAGAAGGCACAAGAATTGGAAGAAGACTTCCAGGGTCCTGGTCACATTCTGTTTCTTGATCTGAGTCCAGGTAACATAGGTACATTGACTTTGTGAAAATTTCTTGAGCTGTACACTCATGATTTGTGTACTTTTCTGTATGTAGATTATACTTCAGCAACATTTGTATTAAAAACAAAGTCAATGCTTGCAATTGTTGTGTCCTCAGAGATGATTAAATCTAGATAGGGATCATCCTCTGACCTTGGTTCTATTTTAATATTTGACGGTTTCATTATATTAAATACTATTTTCCAGCACCCATGAAAGAAATGTAAATACATCATCATCATTCAATCCTAGAATTGGGGATGTGTAGCTCTACCATCTGCAATATCACCTTAAATATATTGAGATAGAAAAATTAGTGCATAAAGATACAACATATACAACTTAGAATTCATATACATATAATATAAAAAAGTCCAATCACCTTTCCTTTCTTCCTCAGAAATGTCATGAATTTTCTGGTTCACAAACTCAGCGTAGGATGCAGCATACCACACCTGTGAGAACCAAGCACATCATGAGAAACTGAAGGACATCACCAGATGGTCTTTGCATGCTTAAGTTCTTTCTCCTGCTTACACAAAACAATTCAGGCTTTTCCACAGCCCATGGAAAACAGACAGACAACAAAACAAATCACACAGCAAGCAGACCCCTCTAACAACCATCTGCAGATGGTCAGTCAGGAAGTCCATTCGCCAAGACACAACTGCGTATTTTCTTTTTCCTTTTTTCAAAAATCGTTTTTGTTACTAGAACAACTTCCCAAGAGATAATATTAATAGTCTCTTCAACGACATAAAGCACAGCCTCTTCTGATGTTTTTAATCTGTATTTAAACACAGGTTTTTACCAGCTGTAATTATAGTGGCTTCCACCCCAACATGTCACCAAACGGAACACACACACACACATACACAGAAAAACATTCATTAGTTTACAAACAATATAGAAATGACTCTGGACCTTTAAAAACTAAGTTTATGAAACCTTCCCCCTCATTATACCTGCTAAACACATCTAGTTTCTCATCATGAGAATTGAGATGCTGTTGCAACTGCTCCGAGCTTACAAACCGGCGGTTACATTCATAGCAGGGCCAATTCTTCTCTTGCTCTCGAAGAACTGCAGTCACAGGGGAGAAATCATAAAGGCCAGTGACACCAATGAAACACCAAAGCCCAGTGCATTAATAAACAAGCAGTGTCTGCTCTTTGCATTACTGTTTTGTTATAAAATCAAAGGCTAAAGTTTGACCCAGTCACTTTTAGGATCTTATTTTCTGATATATTCATGTAGGATCAATGGAACAAACACCATCATACTAAACTTTCCCCCCGCCCCTCCCCCTACACACACAGGCAGCCTTATCACACTGGAAAGAAAGTGCTACAATGTTAATCCTCACTCAGAAAACCAAGGATTCAGATCTAAGTCTCATAATCTGAGGGTACATTTTATCACAAATAACTTGAAAATTAATGCCCAGTATAATCACTTTAACAAAATATTTAGATTACATGCACATCCTATGACCCAGCAATTCTACTCCTAGATATATACCCAACAGAAGTACATACATATGTTCACTAAAAGGCATGTAGGAGAATGTTCGCAGCTGCATTCTGCCTAATAGCCCAAAACTGGAAACAACCCTGTTGTATAATAAAGAATTTGGCTGGACTTTTGTCCCTGGTTCCTGGGAAATAACCTCTACATCTTTGGAATTTCCCAAATAACAGGAGTGTCTTTGTGATGCATGGTGGTCCGTGATCATACCTGGGTTTATGCTAATGAGATGACTCAGGATGAGGGCTGGCTCTGCCAAAATACTCAACCATCCGATTACAGGGTTGGGGCTTCGAGCCAGGTGCTACAGCCAGGGAAGGGAGCAGAAAATGGGGAGCAAGTTCACTCCCATCGCCAATGACTCAATCAGTCATGCCTACCTGATGATGCCACAATAAAAACTCTGGACACCAAAGCTCAGGTGAGCCTGCCTGGTTGGTGATCACACATCAGTGTGCCAGGGACATGATATGGCTTAAGGACATGGAAACTTCACACTTGAGACCCTCCCAAACTTCGCCCTATGTGTCTCTTCATTTGGCTGGTCCTGCTGTGTGTCCTTTGTAATAAAACTATAATCATAAATATAGAGCTCTGTGAGTCATTCTAGTGAATTATTAAGCCTAAGGGGGTAGTGGGAACTCCCTAAATTGTAACAAGTTGGTCAGAAGTGTAGGTGGTGTGAGAACCCAAAGCTTGCAGATGGTGTCTGAAGTGAGGAGAGCCTTGTGGAAGACTCTGCCCTTCACCTGTGAAATATAACCAAAATCCAGGAAGTTAGAGTCACACTGCATTGCACAACCTAAATTCCTATCTACAGTAAAATAGATAAATAAACTGTGGCACACTTATATGATACAATACAAGTAGCAATGAGAATGAGCAAGTTTCAGTAATACACAACAATAAGGATGAATCTCAAAAACATGGTATTGAGCATAAGATTACCAGACACCAAAAGTGTACATATCAGATAACTCTATATGAAGTTCAGCAATGAGCATATTGTACCTAGGGCATTGGAAGTCAGGAGATTAGTTGCACTTGGGAGTGGAGTTGGGAATTGGAAGAAGGCACAAGAATTGGAAGAAGACTTCCAGGGTCCTGGTCACATTCTGTTTCTTGATCTGAGTCCAGGTAACATAGGTACATTGACTTTGTGAAAATTTCTTGAGCTGTACACTCATGATTTGTGTACTTTTCTGTATGTGGATTATACTTCAGCAACATTTGTATTAAAAACAAAGTCAATGCTTGCAATTGTTGTGTCCTCAGAGATGATTAAATCTAGATAGGGATCATCCTCTGACCTTGGTTCTATTTTAATATTTGACGGTTTCATTATATTAAATACTATTTTCCAGCACCCATGAAAGAAATGTAAATACATCATCATCATTCAATCCTAGAATTGGGGATGTGTAGCTCTACCATCTGCAATATCACCTTAAATATATTGAGATAGAAAAATTAGTGCATAAAGATACAACATATACAACTTAGAATTCATATACATATAATATAAAAAAGTCCAATCACCTTTCCTTTCTTCCTCAGAAATGTCATGAATTTTCTGGTTCACAAACTCAGCGTAGGATGCAGCATACCACACCTGTGAGAACCAAGCACATCATGAGAAACTGAAGGACATCACCAGATGGTCTTTGCATGCTTAAGTTCTTTCTCCTGCTTACACAAAACAATTCAGGCTTTTCCACAGCCCATGGAAAACAGACAGACAACAAAACAAATCACACAGCAAGCAGACCCCTCTAACAACCATCTGCAGATGGTCAGTCAGGAAGTCCATTCGCCAAGACACAACTGCGTATTTTCTTTTTCCTTTTTTCAAAAATTGTTTTTGTTACTAGAACAACTTCCCAAGAGATAATATTAATAGTCTCTTCAACGACATAAAGCACAGCCTCTTCTGATGTTTTTAATCTGTATTTAAACACAGGTTTTTACCAGCTGTAATTATAGTGGCTTCCACCCCAACATGTCACCAAACGGCCCTGAGTAGGATCACCAATGACTCTGTTTCAAACGCTACCACACCCTCCTTGAGTCTCTTCCTCCCTCCTACCCCATTGGCTGCTTCTGCTCAGTCTCCTGGTCTGGCCCCTCTTCATCTCCCTAACTTCTGACTATTGGTGTTCCTCAAAGCTAAGTCCAAGTCCAGGGCCTTGTCATTATTCCCTAGGGTGATCACATCCGTTTGCAACCAACTCTATGTTAATGACTCCCAAATTAACATCTCCACCCAGCCCTTCCCTCTCTATTCCCTCTACAGACATTCTACTGTGCACCTGATATGGGGGATGTTTCACAAACAGCTCAAACTTAACGTGTCCAGAACTGAATTCGAGATGCTTCCCTCCTCATACCCCATACTCCTGCCTATCTTTCCCATCTCAATAAATACCCTACCTTCCATCCAGCTGCTCAGACGTGAGACCTAAAAGGTATCTTTACTCAGTTTTCTTCATATTCCTTTAGGAAGAACTGCAGATGGCTCAGATGTTCTCCAGCTCTACTCCTCCCACCTAGAAGCATGCCAAGAGGAGCTCTCGCCTGGTTGTCTAAAGAGCCTCCTCTTTTCCAGTCTTGCTCCCTCCAAACTATTCTCCCCACAGAAGCCAGAGTGATCTTAAAACATGATCAGAATTCATCGTTCACATGCTTAAAAGCGAGCCACATCTTCCCATTTCATAGTAAGCCTGAAATGCTCGACAGTGGTCTCCAAAGGGCTCTGTGATCTCATCCCAGCTCTCCCTTACCTTCCCTCCAGCCAAGAGGGCCTGCTTCCAGTTCCTCAGCATGCTGAGCTCCTCCCCACCCAACCCTCGGCCTGTGCTGTTGTACCACCAAGAACAGCTGGTCTACCCCCAGCCCCTCCCCTAGTCCTATAGTGCCAGCCCCTGCTCACCCCACAGTTCTCAGCCTAATTATGTCTCTCCAGCAAGTTCGTCATTACTCAGCATATCTACACTGGTCTCCTTCCTGTTATCTGATCTTTTTGCACTATTGGTTTCTGCCATAGCACTTAGGACTATTTGATACCACTTGCTTATGTACAGCTCTCTGCCCACCTCCCCTCTACAACACAAGTTCCTCGAACACAGGGCACCAGTCTGTCTTTTCCTGGTGTCTGAAACACAGTAGGAGTTTGGCACATTAATCACCAAATTAATTAATCATATATAGCTGTTATGGGACATCATTTTAACTGTACAGAAATATTTATATTGAGAGACATCACTTTTAACTGTGGAATAGTATTCTACACTTGTATTTCACTTGACCATGACCCTGTGGTTGGATTCTTAGGTGGTTTATCATTTTGCTGTTGTAAATTCTACCCTGTTCCATCAATTCCAAGATGTATGCTTTTCATATTTCTACATCTCAGAAGTCAGAATTTGTCGCCACATGGCATTTTATAATTCATGACAGTCTACACTCACTGCCCTGAGGTAGCTGTCACTGCCTGCTCATTGCTCCTGCGCAAACCTGGCCAAGCTCTTTGCATTGGTCTCACCCCATTCGGTTATGTGCCCCACTGGGTTGTGAACTCCATGAGTTGTTCACTCTTGCCAAGCAACTCAAATGAAGGCCAAAAAAAGAAAAAAAATTGCCATCTCCTTCCTAATAAATAAAAGAAATTTCAAAGCAATGCAAGACTGGTGTGATCATCATGCAGGACCTCTTGTTAAGGCATCAAACACCAAATTGCCAGGAACTTCCTACTGACTTGCTGGAAAAGCACTTAACTTCCACGGACATGTATTTCAATTGAGGAAAAAGACACATATGGGTTCAGTCACTGGGAAAGCACAGTGTCAAAACTTGCAGAAAGGCCAACAGTGGCTTAGAAAAGCCACGTATTTTAAAAACACTGCATCGTCATCAACACTTTGATGGCACAGAAGATGACAGATATACAAAAGTACAAACATCCATGGCAAGGTAAAACAGGATTCAGTTTGTTAAAAAGTCAAACTACACACAAATCAATTTATACCTTAACCAACTTGTTTTGCCTGTATGTGCCCCTTTAGGCATGCATAAGTGTGATGTGATTTCAAAATTGTCTAAATAAGTAAAAAATAGCTCTTGTGATAAGTATCACTATTTTAATTGTTATAAATGAGCACTGTAATATAGCTTAAATGGCATGTTTTTTCTTGATTGTGTGTAAAATAATGGTACATCTTAAACATTTGCATAAATGTAAAACATGGCATTACAAAATGCTAATGCATCTGGCTCTATCTTTGTTTATAATTACTTTCTCAGAATAATTTTCAAGGATTGGGTTTACTCAGCCAAGAACATTTTTGCTACATACTGCCAGAAATATTCTATAAAATACTGTGATTCTGTAACAAATGTCTCTATTTTTAAAACCTTCATATTCAATATACTATATCCATTTATTTTTGCTAATTTAAATTAACAAAAATAGTAACTCATAGTTATTCTAAGGATTTTTTAATTATCAACATTGAAAACTTTTTTAAACATTTCTTTTCTGTTTGATTTCTCTTCCAAAAAAACTCTATTCTTGGTATTTATTTGTCCATCTGGTTGTAGTGAGACTTGAGGTGGACAAGTTTGTCTGTTTTTATACTTAAGCCTTTTAATGTGTATTACAAATATTTCCCCATTCTGTTGCTTCCTTCTGTTGTTTTTATTGTTCACTGTACTGAACTATTATATTCTTATTTAATGGTTTCTGTCTTTACCTCTATAGTTTAAGCTATTGCTTTAGAAGGAAAAATAATCTCCCCTCCACAGTTAAGAAATATTCTCTTCAGTATCAAGAATTTACTGGCATAGATGGGGTAAGATATGAATCTCCTTTTACATATTTTCTTTGGGGTTTATAATTATCTAGTTGATAGTTTCAAAAACAGGATTTATATGGCTTTTGACCAAAGTCTTTGTGTCCCCTCTAAAGAGGTATCAATTTCTCACTTTACCACATTGAGGCATTGTGCAATTCAGTTGTTCATGTACTGATACAATAATTCTCAGCTATTTTACATTTACATTAGGAAGCTGTAGAGTACTTTGAGCCCCCTCTTCTAGCCATGTTCCTAACATAGACTTTTTCTTAGAAAAGGAATTTTCCTTTAAAATCATAGCAGGATTTTCATTATGTTAAGAGTTACTATTTAGACATACTCCTACAGAGAATTATTCCTCAAAAATATATTCCTGAAATCAGAACTCGGTGCACAGAAATATTTGGGTAAAATCAAGTATCTGGATAAAGAAAAGAAATCTTACCTGTACATATGAATTCCATTTTACAAGATTTCCTGTTTCTCAACTAATTCTTCATCAGAGTGTACAAACGATGTTAACTGACCCCACCTTTAATCATTCCATCACAAATACCAGTCTGCTCCCCAAAACAACTACACTTGATCCTTGAACAACACAGGTTTGTGCAGGTCCACTTACATGTGGAATTTTTTAATAAATATACTAAAAAAGTTTTAGGAGATTTTCAACAACTTGAAAAAACATTTTCTTTTCTCTAGCTTATTTTATTGCAAGAATACAATGTATGATATACAAAGATGTGTTAATCAACTGTTCATGTTATCTGTAAGGCTCTGGTCAACAGTGGGCTATTAGTAGTTACATTTTGGCGGAGCCAAAAATTACATACAGATTTTTGACTACATGGGGGAGTCAGTGACCCTAATGTCCACGTTGTACCCCATCATTGCTGGGCCTATTGCCTTTACATAGACTTTAAAGTCATAAACCCAAAAGTCACATATTTTTCATTCTGTTTCATTTACAGGATATTATAGATATATATAGTACATAGCAGTTACTTAAAAAGTAAGTTATAAGAAAAGAACCATTTCTGTAAGAATCCCACTTTGGAGGGAAGAAAATAAGAAAAACATTAAACAATCACCATTCCTAGCAAAGGCGCCACTGGCCCAGTGCTATACCTTAAGTTCCTGCTTGGGTTCTACGTTCTTTATTGTTGTGTAATACACATGGTGGCCATATTGGTAAGCCACCAGGTTCTGTTCCAGGTGATTCTGCGCTGGACGTACAAACATCATCCAATTACAAAGGGTCTCATCAGACAACTCAAACCAGAGGTCTTCATGTAAGTCCCTGTCTTTTCTGTCCCCTTTATCAAGAGAAACCTGCAACCACAAAGAAAGTAAAAAGCCATATCAAAAATAGACCAAACCTTTAACAGGGTATACGTTAATGTAATAATATACAAAATACTGTGCCTTAAATTAACCATATTCCTGATTCTTCCCCTTGTATCTACAAAGACACAGAAATTTTGTCTTGCCAAATGTAAAAGGAAAAGGACACTTTCTGAAGACTCCCCTGTAGGAGAATGGCCTGGCAAAATCTAAAAGTTAAAAACTTGATTGTATGTATAGCTTCTGTCGATGTTTCATCATTAATTAACACATCAAAAAAAGCTACACATAAGCCAGAAAATGCAAGCAAAATACTCTCCAGTTCATTACAACATGCTTCCTTTTGAGATTCAACTGCATTCATTTATAATGTATGGCCTGCTGATAGGTATTTCCCTTTACAAAGTCATATTTTTTCTTGGAGGTCTTCAGCATCCACCAAAGAAAACTTCCCCATGGCAGAAACTGATTTCCCAAAAAACACCCCAAATATTCTCCCTTCCCACTGCCCTTTCTTGGTTCTCCAGAGTGGCTCTCCATGAATCAGACAGCAGAGGGACTGGACAGAAGCAGAAGCATCAAATGTAAAGAATAGAGATCAGAATAAAGATACTTTCAAATACGGTGAACTTAAAAGATTCAACAGGACAGACCTGTTTGAAAAATTGAATGTGGTTTTCCTGAAAACATCTTTGGCACTTAGCAGATTACCTAAGTCTATATAATTCTCTTTGTATTACAGTCAAAGTTAGTTTGGGGGTGGGGGGGAATAAGCTTTCAAAGCCCCTATTATGGGCTGAAATTTATCCCTAATAAAATTCATATACTAGGTAGAGCCTAACCCCCAGTAATTCAGAATGTAACTGTATTAAGAACAGGGCTTCTAAAGAGGTGATTAAGTTAAAGGAGGTGATTAAGTCATTAGAGTGGATCCTAATCCAATCTGACTGGTGCCCTCATAAGAAGAGGTGATTAGGACACACAGAGCGATACCAGCAGCACCCTTACAAAGGACAACCTCATGCAAAGGCAGCAAGAAGACAGCCATCTGCTCACCAAGGAGAAGGGCCTCAGGAAACCAACGCTGCCAAAACCTTGATCAAGACCTTCCAGCCTCCAGAACTGAGAGAAAATAAATGTCTGTTGTGGAAGCTCCCCAGTCTGTGGTTATTTTGTCCTAACAGCCCTAGCAGACTGATACACCCACAAAGAACTACACCACTCAGAATTACTCACAGAATGCCTGAGAGGACTGAAATGGCAATCTCCATTTTATTGGTGAGATAGAAAAAGTTTCTGCTCAAAACAAATTAAGCATAGAAAGAAAACTACTAGCAAACAACTGCTATGAAATTGAACTGAGAGAATCAAGTAGGAAGATGCATGGCTCTCTCAAATCATTAAGAACAAGAGTGGGCTACGATAGAGCATAAATTACCTTTAGATGGATATAACAGTCCTTCAGCTCGGACCCCCTGACGAGGGGCCCCTCCACAGGGCCAAACTGGGTGCGCTTGGGAATACGCCTTTTGGAGAACACTCCTCCGAGGAACCTGTCGATGTAGAGGACCAGGGGCAGGCTTGCTCGCGCTCTGGTGAGTACAGGCCGGTTGGGGATCGGATGCAAGGGGCCATGCTTTGGGCACACTGAGGAATGGGCATTGTTACACTCTTCACACCCTGCAAAGAAAGAAAATCTTCAAGTCAAATCCCTCAATGGGACATATTCTCAAGTACAAAGTTCTAACCTGAAAAATCACCAAATTTAAGTTTTCAAGCCAAAATCCAGTTAATTCCCACAACCAATACAATCCTGTACTTTTCCTCCAAAATCAGGCAGCATTAGCTTGTGCCTGCCAAAAATAATATGCAGGCTGTGACTTATTTCTCCACTGGATATCAGTTCGGAGAGTGGACACTAAATTTACAAATCAATTATAACATGTTTGAAAAGAAAAAAGAAGAGCTTATTAGCTAAATCTTGCAAAAACTGATGAGACAAAATACGTGAGTTTTATAGTCTGTAAACTGTATCTCAATAAAGCTGTTTAGAAAAATTAACCTGACAACACTGTTTAATTAGTTTCTTCAAGGGAATTATAGCCAACTCATTGTCTGGGCATGTCTAACTCAAACAGAAAAAGTGCTGTAGTTTGAGATTTCAGTGCATACTGAGTGAAGATAACGCTTAACTGAGTGAAATTACCGTTTCATCCTTCAGTCGCTTAACTGACACAATTAGCCCAGGGTTGATAGGATGTGTATCTTCTGTTCATTCTAGGAGTGATCAGTTTGCACTGTGCATGCACACATACTCCTTTCCCAGCAGCACCCATCTGTAAGCTACCTAGAATTAGGTGTGCACAGCCACAAAGCAGAAAAGTGACTGGACCACAAACGATCATATTCATGAACCCTAACAAATTTAACCAATTATGTGCTACCCAACTTTGGCTATGTATATAGGAATTTTCAATTAGGAAAATAAGTATTTTCAATATCTATACTTCTCCAGTAATAGAGAGCTACTTTACATGTATTTGATTAAGGAGTTGCCTTGAAAACATGAATTGAAGGAAAAACAAAGTGAGGAAGTTCTCTATTGGCTGTGGAGATGGACACTGGCACCAGGCAGGTCACCCCTACACAGAGGGTCCCAGGAGAAATATGGGGAGACCACAAAGCTCCGAATATTCTGGGTAACTCAAATAAGTGAGATAAGAACTTTGCCATATAAGCATGGAAATTGATGGAAAGAAGCAATGATTCAGAAGCAAGAAGCAGGAAACCCCATCCTCCCGAAGGCAGTAAGTGGTATGGTTAATGGGGTGCACGCTGTAGCCAGCCCACCTGGGTTTGAATCCTGCGTCCTGCAACAACGGAGTATGACCTTGAGAAAGCCATCTGCCTCAAAAGGCTGTGGAGAGCACTAAACCACTTAGAAAATGCAATGCACTAGTGCCTGGAATATGAGGCATTTCTAAGGGGTGATTATGAGAGAGGTACAGCGGCAAAGCAAACTTGCTCAGGTTGAGATGGCTAAGTAGCCCAGGCCGGGACACGGTTACCCCAGTGGTTTGGGAGCTCAAGCGCTGGTATATCAGAGATACTTGGGCTCGATGCCCTACGTGACACTGGGCGGCTGCTCTTCTGAGCTTTAGGTCACTCTGCTGAAATGGGAACAAGCAGGACAGTGTCCGCGCCTCCCTCACAGGCAGTCATGTGGCTGGAGGGGGGTGGCACCCACAGGGTGCAGCACAGCAACCACCCGGCAATCTCAGCAGAAGCTCACTGCATCCTGCGCTCACACTCATGGGGAACAGCCCGACTTACACAAGTCGTGTGGGTCGAAGGGCCGTGGTGGGTCTGGCTCCCAGTCCTCCAGGTCCGTGTCTTCGCCCTCGTCCTCCTCCTCTTCTTCAGTCTCCTCATCCTCATCCTCATCCTCTTCCTCTTTGGCATCCAGTCTATCCATAGGGTTCTGCAGGGTGGCCAAGGGGTCTGAGCCATCCACGCTCTCAATGGAAGGTAACACCTGGTTATGCACTGGCAACGAGGCCTGGACAAAGTTCAACCATGAAGTTAGTGCACGTTCAGTTAGTCAGCTGGTGCACATGAGCACAAAATACAAGGTCTGGCTGGAAGACACTCTCCACACTAGCTCCCTTCAAGGCCCTGCAGAAATTAGTTCCATCTCGAGGCTGTTATGAGGAGTCCGCCTTTGTTTTGCTGTTTCTGCCCCACACCTGGGCAAGCTGATATGAAATCCAGGTGTTCCCTCCTTTGGTGCTGGCAGGAGTGTCAAAGCCCTGCCACACGCCCAGGAATCCCATGCTGACCCCACACCTTAACCTCAAGAAAACCCAGACCAATCTCCTTTCCTTGCTCTCTCAGGACATTTCAAATCTGCCTGAGAGGCTTGCCCTGTCCCCCGAGAGGATCCAAATACCTGAGTAACAAACCTTTCCATACCCTCCCAGGGTGTGTGTGCTATTACCAGTCTCAGCATCTGAACTCAGCTTTGTTTGGGGAGTCCCTCCTACCTTTTAAGGGTGGCCACATGGTGCAGGTAATGATCTGACCTATCTTCAACCGCTCCACTTTTTTTTTTCTGTATCTCCTATGCTGTACTTTCACCCCTGTGATTAATTTATTATATAACTGGTTGTTTATGCCTCTTTATCCCCTTTACCTATTTCACCCATTTCCCTATCCTTCTCCCCTAAGGCAACTACTGTGTGTTCTCTGCGTTTATGAGTCTACTTCTGTTTTGTTTGTTTGGTTGATTGGTTTGTTTTTTGATTCCACATATAAGTGAAATCATATGGTATTTGTCTTTCTGTGACTGACTTAACTTCACTTGGCATAATACCCATAAAATCACTTCACTTCCAAAACTAAAAATATAGTGCAACACCACTTGGTAAAATTCAACAGTTAACAGCTCTGCTTTCACAGATTTCAGAGAGGTTAAGGTTTTTAAGAATGAGGTGCCTATTTGTTTCATCATGTTGAAGTTAGTCTTTGGCACATAATATGCAGTTTGGGTCATGTATTGGGTTAATACTACCTTACCAAATACACTGGCAGAAAATAAATGGTACCTGAAAAGGTTCTCTCACCTAAATAAGTGTCATGGGGCTATCTACCACCCCAGATGACTTTTATACAATCTGATTACTCCTGCCCAATTATCACAATGACTAATACTCAAGCCATGCCCCCTTTCTATTCAAAAATAAAACAAGTTTTTTAAATACCTTCTCCCCTTTTGCCTTTTCCCACATGTTGTTTTCCTCACCTAGAATGCTCTCCCTCAGCAGTCTTTTAAACCCTATCATGTTCATTTCTCTGTGAACCATCTATGACTGCTCTGCCCTGACTCCTCTACTGATGCCTTGTCACACTGCTGTCATAGAACCTGCTCTACAGCGTCACTCAAGCCTCTGCTCAAACACTTCATCACCTCACAAGACAACCTAAATTATTTCGGAATAGTTCAGCAGTTGTTTCTGTGGAATCAAAATCTCCCTGTGCATATCTTCTAAGCCTCGGTTTGGGACCTGTGTCTTTCTGAGATAGAATAAGTCTAACTCTTCTGCCACATGACACAGTTCTTCAGATAATCAAGACCAAAAGCCCCAGAGCCATTCAATCATTTTTCACATGGCCAAACTTCCAGATCTTTGATCATCCTGTTGTCTTCATTTATTTCTCAGTGGATTCCCACATTTCTTAGGACTACAGCTTCAGATTGCATTAGCATTTATGACAGCCATCGTTCTAGAGCTGACCCATTTTGAACTCACAAACTAAAATCCCTGAGTCCTTTTCTCCTCTGACAGAATGTTATAAAACCAATTTTCTCCTCCTCAAGATTTAAATACCTGATTTTAACTTATGGGAGATTTTGCATCTATCTCCAGCAAATTCCATTTTATTACTTTTTCTGTTCTTTCAGTTGGCCAAGGTCTTTTAGAATCTTATATGTATATTGCCTTTAGAATCTTGATTCTGACATCTCACACATTAGCTATCCTTCATAACTTTGTCTCCATTGCCAAACACCATCTATTTTCAAGTATGCATTTTCATGTGAGTCCATTTTAGAGTCACACAGCTTTGGGTTAAAATCCTGTTCCCACTACTTAGCAAGTTAACAGACTTCTCTGAACCTCAGTTTCTTTATCTGTAAAATGGACATAGTAATACATACCTCATAGGTTATAGTGAGGATTAAATGGATAATGTGCATATGAGGCCAGCAGGCACGTATCTACTACTAAATGAGGCATTTAGTAAGTGCTTTATATTAATAATAATATATTATTATCATAAACTCTTGGAAGACTGAGATGACATCATGTACTTCCTCTACAACCCTAAGAAACTGCTGAGCATTTAGCACATATTCTACGAAGATTAATTTGTGGAAATATATTTGGCCTTTTGGGAAATGACATCAATCCCTTTAAGCATCTAAAGAACTCTGCTGTTATTCACAGGGGAAAAAAAATCCTTTTTCAGTTGTGCATCTGGGTCTAGGAACTTCTTAAACTGTATAAAAAAACAGCATTGAGTGAATCTGACCTGCTGTGGCATTTTAAGATTGTTGCCCAACATTTGAAACACTCAGACTCCAGAAAGCAGATAAAATCAGTTGCCCTCAAATAGCACACTTGTATTTTAACATGATTTCATTTAACCAGGAGCCCAGCCATGTCTGCAGTTCAGGGCCTTTTAGGAGCTTTATATGGGAGGACAAAATTCTAGAAGTGGCTTCTGCTTCAGCTTCAATAAATATGGAATAAAATGTCCATTGAAGTGAGGACTGAACAAGGAAAAGAGCAATGAAAGGGTGTTTGCCACCTCCCTCTGCATCCAGACCTGATCCTGCAACGAAGCTATTTGGTTCCCACGTGTTACCCATATTGCCCTTCATACCAAGCCATTAAATTTTATGCCAGTTAGGCATGAATGTTATCACACACTGAGCAAACCAAAGCATTTATCTACCTCTACTCCTCATAAATTCTTTTTTCCTTTTTGCAGAGCCAACCTAAGAGAATGAATTAAGCAATTCCGAGTTATTCCAGTGAAGCTGCGATGTATTTTTCCCCCAACAGATGCTGCTAGGAAGACTGTGGTTAGGCAGGCTTACTACTGGCTTCTCGCCACTGCTGAGGAAGCTGACATTAAAATAGTACCAGCTTCCCTCTTCTCAGTTCTGGGACTCTCCTGTGGCAAAGAAAAGGCTTAAACACTTCAGCATTATCTCAAATGACTGCTGCTAAAGGAAAGGTTGAAGGAATACCAGGATCAAGCAAACCACTATTGAAAAGGGTTAATGATAATCATTTCTAGGTAAGAACTGTTTATTTCTAGATAGCAAAGACTTTACCACACAGTAGGCATGCATTTCACACTTAGTTAATTAATAATTCAAATTCAACTGACATTTACTTAGAGTTGGGCATATATTTTAATTCCTTTGAGGTCCAGTAACCCTTTAAGACCAGCCAAGTGACCACACAGCACCAAGGGGCGGAGATGAAATTCAAATTCTGACTCTGCCCTGCTCTTTCCACTACATCACAATGGCCCCTACAGAGTTAGGTCTATTCAAGGAGAAGGTAAACATCGCACACACCTTGAATACCAGGGCAACAAGGTAACCACACCTGCTCCCCAGGCAACAGCCAGGCAGTAAATACTGAGCAACCTGTACCAGTTTTACTCAGAGGAAAAGAACAGGAAACAAAAATATCTTAATCCTGTGCATCTTGTCATGCACAATAAAGCATGATAAGAGGAAAAAAGAATTCGTTACACTTATGGTGCATTTTCTCTTTCCTACTTAATATCACCCTCCGTAATTATTTCTGAAACTACATAATGCATCTCAGGATACAATTTATCTGAGAAGTGAAATATGAGACTGCACTGGACAGCAGTAAACACAACAGAATGCTTCTGGATTCCTACTGAGACCAATTATCAGTGCAGCGTATTTCCTTCTCAGTGTGTGGGGAGCCACACATGCTCATTTTCAGAAACAAAGAGGAGACAGTGCTTCTAGGTCTGGAGAGAACCAGTGCCCTTCTTAAGAATAAGGGAATGCCTATATGAAAAAAGCTTCAAATGGGTTTTGCCACCACTAAAAACAATAGAAAATAAAAGCATCTATCATCTGTGTCAAACCCTCATTCCCACTTTCTATCTAGAATTTATCCAGGTCACAGAATAAACTGACACTCTCTGAGGTGTCACAGCTCGAAATAAAAACCATGCTGATTGAAAGAAGCTGCAATAAAATTGTTTGGCCAACAGTTATCCTGTAATGTCAGGGTTCATAGAGCTGTATGAATATGACTTTGCTTTATATAAAACAGAAACAAGCAGACTGTTTCTGGAGACTGGAGAAGATGAAGGGCCCTTTAAGGAGCAAATGGCAACAAAACTTCAAATTAATACTATTGAAACAACAAAATATCACTGTGCTTACCAGACTGGCAACATTTTTTAAATGCAAATTTACCCAACGTGGCAAGGGTGTATGGAAATGGGCATTCTCCTATATTGTTGGTGGGAATATAAAATCTTTCAGGATCCAAAAGCAGTTTAGAAAGTCTTATCAAAATAACTTTCCTACTTACAATGATAAATTTCAAACATATATTAAACAGAGAGAATAGTAAAATAAACCTCACAAACCTACCACTCAGTTTCAATATTATCAACTTATGGTTAACTTCATTTCAGCAATTCTCACCCATTTTCCCCTCACTAGGTTATTTCAAAACAAAACTCTGACATTATACACTTTCATCTGTAAACAGTTCAGTAGATATCCCTAAAAGAAAAGGACTTTTACATTTTATATATTATCATACCTAAAAAATTAACCATTCCTTAATATTATCAAATACCCAGTTAGTGTTAGGATTTCCCCAATTCATAATTTTTTTACAGTGGGTTTCTTCAAATCAAGATTCAAACAAGGTCCACATATTGCATCTTACAGATATGCCTCTAAAGTGCCCGTTAATCTGTAAATTC